GGGGGGGGGCATGTACAAATTGATTGATTGAATGTAATCAGTTGATTGATTAGCAAATATCTCAAATTTGTCAGCTGTACAAGTAATTCAACTTAAAAATAATTTTCAACCTAATGAAAACATTGGACTTTATAACATAATTCCCTTTGATTATTTTCTTGTATTATCCTGGAAATGCTCTTTTTTTTTGAAGTTGGAAACAAATGTATCAGTTAATAACAAACTGCATCAAGAACATTCTGAATGGAATACAGTACACAAGAAAGATTAACATTACATAAAAAGGTAACATGAGATAGAAACCACAATGTTTAGCTGACTATAGATTAAAAAATTGAAATGAAAATATAAAATACAGAGATAATGTGAACTTTTCTTAAAATACATTAAAAGAAAAAAATATTGTACAATTATAAAAAAAGTTTCACATTTCATTAATACCAAAGGACTTGAATGGCATTATTTAATTTTTTTTTCATTGTGATTTTTTTTATTAGTTTTTAAGAGAGGACAATTTCTTTAAAATACTCAATGGAATGACCAACTTTGTTGAAATGCCAAGCTACAGATTTATCCTGATTCTTAACTGAAATGGTACTTAGGTTTTCATGTTTTCATTCAGCAAGCATGCAACCAGTTTCTTCTATGTAAATTTGGTCACAAATAATACAGTAACTAAACATATAGATGTACAGGTGAAATGGCTATTAACAAAACAGGCTGACTTACAACCTAATTCAAGCACTATATATTGAAACCTACACAGCAAGCCTAATTCAGGCACTATATATATTCAAACCTATGTGGCAAGCCTAATTCAGGTACTATATGTTGAAACCTACGTGGCAAGCCTAATTCAGGCACTGTATGTTGAAACCTACGTGCTAAGCCTAATTCAGGCACTGTATGTTGAAACCTACGTGCTAAGCCTAATTCAGGCACTGTATGTTGAAACCTACGTGCTAAGCCTAATTCAGGCACTGTATGTTGAAACCTACGTGGCAAGCCTAATTCAGGCACTGTATGTTGAAACCTACGTGGCACCATCCTAGCAAAGTAAATTACGCCAACAGTGTGAAGAATTAAGCTAGCATTATTTCTTCCCTTAGATATAGGTGTCTGTTGGCACATAATCATTAAATGACATATTTTATTGTACACTTATTATATTACACACAAATAATAATTTACATGTTTACTACTTACAGTTTTACATTTTATGCAATAACTTTCTCTAAACCTAAATTATAACTCATGTGATATCAGATGTACAAGATAGTTACTGTTGATTTGTTTGTGATGTAGAGTTACGAAAATTTCTGTACAGGTGATATCCACATATGGTGAACTGCAATGTATAAATACTTAACTGCTGAGTTAGGAAAGAAGTTTTAGCCAGTATTTTGGTTGGATGATTGTTTGTGTGCAGGTAATGCCACGTAGGTTTCAACATACAAGTGCTTGAATTAGGTTTGCCACGTAGGTTTCAATATACAGTGCCTGAATTAGGCTAACTTAATAACTGTTGACTTGAAAAATGTTGTTTTACTGTCTCTAGTAAATTATTCTCCCAGTATTTTACTTAAGATGGACTATGTTGTTGTTGTTTGTTCATATTTCTTTCAGTGTTGAATTTAATTTCTAACTTTGGAAAACGTTTTTGTGGATGAACTCTTAAAAATGCCAGAAGCAAACACAACATAGGCTTAACAAGAGTTAAAGAACCTGGTTATCTCTAATACAATTCATCGGCTAATGGTTCACCAGTGTTGGAATTAAGTCACCAGAGGCAGCATAATAAACATCACTGAACCTGCAACGAGACGTATTAGTGACTGACAATATAATAAACGTCACTGAACCCACAACGAGACGTATTAGTGACTGAGAATATAATAAACGTCACTGAACCCACAACATGAAGTATTAGTGACTGAGAATATAATAAACGTCACTGAACCCACAACATGACGTATTAGTGACTGACAATATAATAAACGTCACTGAACCCACAACATGACGTATTAGTGACTGACAATATAATAAACGTCACTGAACCCACAACGTGAAGTATTAGTGACTGAGAATATAATAAACGTCACTGTACCCACAACGAGACGTATTAGTGACTGACAATATAATAAACGTCACTGAACCCACAACGAGACGTATTAGTGACTGAGAATATAATAAACGTCACTGAACCCACAACGAGACGTATTAGTGACTGAGAATATAATAAACGTCGCTGAACCCACAACGTGACGTATTAGTGACTGAGAATATAATAAACGTCGCTGAACCCACAACGTGACGTATTAGTGACTGAGGATATAATAAACGTCGCTGAACCCACAACGCGAAGTATTAGTGACTGAGAATATAATAAACGTCG